CGCACGGGCCCCTGCCCATCCCCGTCCCGTCGGGGCGCCCTGCCTGCGGGGCTCCGTGCGCCTCACCCCGGCCTCCCCGCCTCGCAGGAGTCCCTGGTGCAGCCCCGCGGGGAGCCGAGCGCCGCGCTCCGGGGGAAGGCGGCTTGTGCATGCCCCGGCCGGCCGCTGAGCCACCTGGAACCCAGCTGAGCGCTCCCTCGGGGCCGCAGGGAGAGGCCCCGGGGCTCCGCCACGCTCTGCCCCCTAACTGGAGGCGGAGGGGTGCCAGGAAGGTTGAATGAGCTGGGCAGACCCCAGGCGGTGCGGCTGAGGGGTCAGCCCCAGGCTGCTGACTTGGGAACCTTCCACTGAGACCAGGGGCCCCTCTGATGAGCTGACCCAGAGCCCGCTGAAGTGGGTTTGGTCCCAGGCCCCGGACCACCACTCAGTAGCTCTCTGGTTAGACTGAGAGGTGGAAGGCCCTGATCCTGAAAACCCTTCCATGGGTGGATAATTTGTCTCTGCTCGGAAGGACAACATTCCCAACCAGCGTAACTGACCTGGTGTTAGATATGTTTTAGGGTGGGCAAGGCCTGTCATGTTCGCTGGGGGCTTGGGAGTTATCATGCCCAGCTGCCATGCGTGAATCAGGCTCCAGTTCCTCCAACTTCAGTCTTGTATCACACTAGGGCACGTGTTAAACCTTTTCCCAGGGCAAATAAGGCAAAGAAGATTGTTTGCATGCATCAACTATCCATGTTTGCTGGATCAGGGCCTACAATGTCAGCTCTGGTAACTGGAGTGGCTTGGAGCAGAAGGTTCCTGTTAAATATTTCTCTCCCTCAGATGCAAGGAAACTAGTTTTCAACTTGTTGCCAAACATAAAATGGAACTAGCAGGATACATAACCCCCAAAGCACAGAGCATGCAGCTCAAGAGAATCCCCTTCTCTGGATACCACCAATTGTGGTCTGCAAGGAGGAGGAAAGGACAATGAATCCAAGGCACCACGTTCAAGATGAACAGGTCTGTCACACTAGATAGGAATTGGCTGCGCTATAGAGCTAGTGCCCTGCCATAACCGATGTGAAAGGTGGCAAGTGCTAGCCAGTGGTGAATCAGTGTACACAGTATTGTGTCACAGTGAAGGACAGGCTGAAAGTTGCTGTTAGGGGATTCAGGCACTAGCTGGGTATTTTATAAATACCTGTGTGTTGTAGCATGGTAGTTCCTCCCCGAGGGACTATTCTGTTACTTCTCCAAGCAAGGACCAGTTTCTTCACAGGCAGAATATTAGCTGTGAACTTGATCCTGCAAACCCTTACTCATCATAAATATTTCCACTGCAAGCAGTAGGAGTCGAAATTGGATCCTGCAATCCAATCTGTATGGAGGGATTTCTGCACTGTGGCAGAGCTCCAGTCCCAGGTCTAATAGCAGGACTGGGGCCAGGTGAATTAAGGGGCTGCAAGATTCAGTACCAGCTTTCCAGGTGTTTGCTGCCTCTGCAGGGTCATTTCAGAGAGGGCTAGACTGAGTGGAAGATACAAAATGAAGCAGTTATAAAACCTGCACTAAACTGCAGTGGGTGTTGAATATTTCTCTCTGCCAGAGTGTCTATGCTAGAGAGTGGGAATTATTTTGCCTGGATGGTGCCTCCTCTCTCGCTCCCTATGTGTGTCTGAAACAAACTGGAGCTGAAGTGATGACTCCTCTTAAAGAAAAAAAACTGGGTCTCACAGAGTGATTCTTGAGAGCACAATCATTTTAATCAGAGTCAGGTGTAGTCCTATAAAAGAACAATCACCCACATATTTGCATTGTTTTTATTCCTGTTCTTAATACAGTGCATGAATGCAGTGCCCATGTCTGTTTCCTGGACAACTTCAGGCTTGTGTAGAAGATCACATTACCATGACAGTATACGCTAGTGGATAAAGCAGGGAATTGGCGTACCTGGGGTCTGATTTGGATTTGCCCCTGATTAATGTGATTTTATGCAAGTGGCTTAGGCCCTGATCCTGCAAACGCTTACATACATGATTAACTTTGATTGAAATCAGGGGAACTATTCACAGTATTAAAAGTTAAAGCATGGGTGTGTGTAAGTGATTGTGATATTGTGGTTTTCATATCGCTCTGCCTTAGTCCTCCCATTATGAAGTAGATAATTGTACTTTTCTTCTTCTCTAAAGTGTTCTCTGATTTACAGGCAGTGAGCTAAGTGATATCATTTATTTCTCCAGCCTGTAGTATTAGGAAAAAAAAGAAACTCTGAAGGCAGAAAATATGGTCCCAATTATATTTATTATATATTGCAAATAGTGTAGAAAATGTTAATAAATGCTACAAGCGTATGACAGTCATGAAACAGTTAAAAGTCATGGTTACAAAGGACCAATGGCATTCTGTAAGAACTGAGTATCCACTGAGTAACGTTTTTATTAATAACTTATAAACCCTTTACAAACTCTGTCAATATACCCTTTATATAAAGTCTGACCAAGAACATGCTGAATTTACTTTATATTTCACACGTCTTCACTGTAGAGTGTCTGCTTTGTTCTCATCCGCACCATCTCTTTTTTTTAATTCATTCTTTCAGGAAAACCCAAGGTGTATCAAGGTGTGAGAGTAAAGATCACAGTGAAAGAGTTATTGCAGCAGAGGAGAGCAAGACAAGCAGCAACCGATGCAACTGTAAGGACAAATTGCAAGTTTCTGCCTTGTAATTTAAAAATAAGAAACTATTTCTTCTCCATCAACGTAATGAATCCAGAGCTATGAGAGCAGAGGCTGCAGGTGGAGGCAAAATGGACAGCTTGTCTTCAAGGGACAATTGAGCCATTTAGCTATTCCAGAATAACTCCCTCCAAATGGACCCTCTTCTGGAATAAAAATTATTTTATTTTGGACTAAATTCTCCACTCACTTTTATTCCAGAAGAGAGGACCCTCCCCGCCCCTCCAGGGAGTTATTCTTTCAGGCTATGTCTAGACTACAAGCCTCTTTCGAAAGAGGCTTTTTCAAAAGATACTTTCGAAAAAGCCTCTTTCGAAAAAGAGCGTCTAGACTGCAACCAGTACTTTCAAAAAAGCACAGTTTGCATTACATAGCGCCTTTTTTCGAAAGAGCACTTTCAAAAAAAGGCGTTCCTCGTAAAACGAGGTTCTCCGCAGTCGAAAAAACTGCCGCATTCTTCCGATTTACTTTCGAAAGAACATGGCAGCAGTCTAGGCGCAGGGGAAGTTTTTTCGAAAAAACCCTGCCGTCTAGACACACCCTAATAGTGGCTCTGGTCAGTTTCCCCTATTTAGACAAGGCTTGACAGACTCAGAATTTCTGTGCGGCAGTAGGGAAAAACGTACATGCTAGCTGCCGCAAACCAAGCCCATGTGGCTTGCTTGGTCAAACTCTGTGGTGTACTGAGGCTCCCAACATGTGCTCCCCTCCAGAGACAGCTCTCACAGCCCCCCAAAAAAACCCTCTTGCCTCTGCTGCTCACTCTCATTGCAGTCTCCCATTATTCAGTGGCTCCTTCAGCCAGGGCCTGAAGGGGGGGGTGTGTGCGCTCTGCACACTTTTGCTGGCCCCTGGGGAGAGTGCACCACCAAATCCTCCTGCGGCTAAATGTGCAGGCATCATACAGCTCCTAACTCATGCTGGCCTAGAAAAGGGGTGTGTGGGATCCCCGAGGATAAAGAGCCACCTCCAGACTTAGCTGAAATCCAGGTGAGTCTTTCCTTTGACTTTAGTGAACTTTGGATCAGGTCTCAAGAGCCGTGGTTCCGTACAGTTCTTAGGTGCTCAGCTAAGTGAAAAGCCAAGCTCAGCTCTCAGGCCTGTTGGATCCATGCCCAGGAATGATTTCTGATCCCCAGTGTGCTGTACTGCTAGCAGGAGCAGAGGGAGTTTCTCTGTGAAATGAATTTCCCAGGGGGCAAAACTCTTTCTCGATGTGGGAACCTGAGAATGAAAAGGCTGACAGGCGGACAAGAATGTCTAGCCTCTCCCTTAGAATCAGCTACTGTCCCAGAAAGCTGGAGGGGAACCAGCCTTATCACTTTTATTTATAGAGCAGTGTGTCCTTTACTGCATTAACAGGAGAATCAAACTAAATGATCATTAAAACTGAAATTACCAAAATAAGACAGGGGCACATGAGCCTGCTTCTGTGAAGGAATGCTACATTTCTGTGAGCTGTTTTGCCAACATACTCACAAAATTCCAGCAGCGCATGCAGGAGAACTGGATAAGATCATGTATGTGGAATCTGAAAAATCTTTTCACGAGAGAGATTAGGCACCTCACAAGAGGTTAGACACTCTAGAGTGAAAGGCAGAATGATGTCAGGGGTTAGAAACTGACCAGGAGACAGACAGGGAACAACATGACAAAAGGTTGACATTGAGTGTCCAATGTTCTGTACAAGGACTGATATTTATCAATGATCTAGACAAGGGGGTGAACTCTGAGGACTGATATTTATCAATGATCTAGACAAGGGGGTGAATAGGTAGCCAATACTGGAGATTATAGTGAATAACTTCACCAGGATCTAACCAAGCTTGGTGAATGAGCAGCAGGTTGGCAGCTGCAGTTAAGCGTTGCCTGACACAAGGGTGTTTCTGACGCCCTATTGTAATGTGCACTTTTCTCCTCTCCCAGGGATAATTTTCTCCTTTAACGTTTTTTCCCCGCCCAGTTTGTCAAGGCTGATAACAATGGAAACCTCGGCTCTTACCACTTAACCTGTACTAAAACCCCCTAGAAGGTGTTTGAAAATTTGGGATTTTTATAATGGGTAATGCAACTTTGTTATTTTTTTTTTAAAGCCCCAGAGATGCATTTTCTTTTGTCTTGAAAGAAAGCGAATATGAGCAAAGAACTATTTAAATAGGGCTTGGTCTCCACCCCTTTAAATAAATGAAAAACACTGCGATCCCAGAAAGCACTTATGCATGTGAATAGGCCCACTGTGTGCTTGAAGTCGTGCACATGTTTAAGTGCTTTGCAGGATCAGTTCAGTCCAACTAGCCCCAAAACCATGCCTAGTTGGAGAGAGGGAAGGGGCTTAAGGAGACCTATATGTGGATACAGCATTGACATGCAAGAAGCGGAGTGTTCTGTGTGCATGTAAGTGAGCCCTCTAGCTTAGGGTGCCCTCTGTTTTTGCATAGAGAGGTTGGTAAATCATTACTGCTTCCTGGTTCGTGACATTACAGCCTGGATGGTTTTCAGATTTAATCTCCCACCTCCTGCTCTCTCTGCAGCGGTTGATTGCACAAGAAGCTGAGCAGACTGCAACCTGCAACCACAAATAAAGAGGCTTGGTGAATGGAGCCTTCTAGCACTGAAATGCTGCAGAATACTTGTCCCTGGAGTGCAAAGTCACTTCTTCCTCTGTCAAATGGCTCAGCTAGCACTTACATGCCCTATAAACGCTCCTGCGGGGTGTTAAGAGGCTGGATTGAACTGGTCTTAAATTGCTATTCACTCAGTGTTGACACTGGGATTGTTCCATCCACTAAGGAGACTCAAAGCCGGTGGTGCAGGAGATTAGCTTTGCACTTAATAAAATTTACACCAGTTATTTATTTGCATTGTGGAGGGCCCAGGGATCACTGTCCCATTGCACTAGGCGCTGTAAATACATGTCGTGCAAAGCTGGACTTCAAAGCATTCTGCAGGACAGAACTTCCAACTCTTTTATTAGTAGGGAGCCTAGAGAAGCTACATATTGTGTCTATATTGACAAAACAGGGAACATCAGCCCTGCCAACTCTTACAGGACCCCAGGGTTCCAAGAATGTTTTTCTCCTCTGATAGTTTGATAATTGCAGCTTAAGTGTTAAATAACTGGGCAGCTGTTAAAAAGCTCTTGATAGGGAAATCAGCCACTCTCTAGTTCAGGAACATTTTGAGTGAAAGAAGTGAAGCTGGGGTCAGTACAAAATAAAACCATCTGAAGAAGCCACAGTCGGAATAGTAATAGAGATGCAGCTGTGTTAGTCTGGTGTAGCTGAAACAAAAGACAGGACTATGTAGAACTTTAAAGACAAACAAGATGGTTTATTAGGTGATGAGCTTTTGTGGGCCACGCCCACTTCCTCAGATCAAATTGTGGAAGAAAATTATTAGCTCATCACCTAATAAACCATCTTGTTAGTCTTTAAAGTGCTACATAGTCCTGTCTTTTGTTGCAGTCTGAATGGTTAGAGTGAAATTCTGGTCTCTCTGAAGTCAATGGCAAACCACACATTGTTTTCAGTGCAATCAGGATTTCACCCAGAATGTCTGATGTAATTTTCTAATGGGCTTCTTGATGCGTAAGTTTCAGTTTACAAAGCCTCAGGGAAAAACAACAGGATCAGTTTTCTTTGTAAGTGTTGCAATATTCCAGTAATCCCACCTGTACATTACAGAGTGAAGCATGTAATAGAACAGTTCTCTGTGGTGCACACGTGAGGTGCTACACAGGTGAATCTGCACTTGATTTTTTTAGTGGTGTTTTTAATGTGTTAGCTCACATAATTGTGATTTGTTCTTATTTGTGTTTAACCCTGCATAGGGGTTTTTTGTGTGTCATGTCCACACAAAAATTTACAATCCTGCTAAAGAAGTGTTAAAACAGGACCAAACATTTAAGTATAGTCTGATATATCTATGGTGAATTAACAGTAATGGATCAATGGAATGCACATCAGAGGAGCTACATATTTATCGATGTTAGAACAATTCAGTGTAATGCACATCTATTGTTCTCTGGGTGGAAATATGGAACAGTACAGTGTTACTTTGATTGAGGGTGCTACGTAAACAGAACAATTGAACAAAGTACATGCATAGGTAATAACAAGCCGTCATCACAAAGTTTGCACAAGTAAGCTTGAAAAGGGATTGTGACTTACCTCAGTGTTCAGAGGAACGATCTCCTTGGATCTTTTAATGCAGAAACACTTGCAATTGCTATTTTCCTTTGTTCTGTTTTTTATCAGGTTTCTCGAGACAGCAGCAGTGTCCAGTTTCCAGAACCAGTGTCTCCTCCCAGCACAGGTTGGTACAAAGAGCATCCCCCTTCTCTTCTCCCTTCCCCCACCTCCTGCTCCTCCAGTCCAGGTCTCTTTATCCCTCCGTGCAAGATTTGAGGCAGGCACTACCATTTAATTAGGAATCCAACCAATCAGAACCTGAAAAGGGTTCACTAAATGCAGATGAGGATGCAGTACCCTGCTTGTCTTACATTTTGCTCTCACTCTGGCAGAAATTTTGTCCTCCTAGCCATGCAGTTTGCCTTTTCTACAGAGAAGCGAGGCTCTGATTAATCGGTAACATTTATTACCAGCAGAATAACACGACTGTGGTGCTTTCATTGAGATTTCCATGGCTTGGTACTGCCTTGATCTGATGTCAGATGGGCCCAGGCCGTCTTAAAGCTTTATTTGTCTTTGCTGCTCATTTAGCTTCCAGTTGAGGGGCCCAGACTATATTAAAGCATTATTTGTCTTTGCTGCTCATTTAGCTTCCAGCAGACTCAGTTAATCTATTTTTCCCCTCTCCCTGTGGAGTTCAGTCTTTTCAGCAGAGCAGCATAAACAGCTCCTTCCTGGTTGACACCAATATCCCGGAGTTGGGAGGGGAAAAAAAAACATTAGTTTGGACTTTTCGGGTCTTTTATTCTCTAGGTGGTAGGAACTAAGAGATCCAGAAAGCGTTGCCTTTCATTTGTGAATGTATATATTGCATAGACAAGGAAATGCTTAAATAATCAATATTTGGGGTTTAGATTTGCTTATGTTAATATAGAAACATGAGATGCCCATAACCTCTTTCAGATGCCTGTTCCTCTCCCCACACACTTTCCAGTTAAAATCTTGGGTCCCCAGCCTGCAAATACATAATGCATGAGAGTAATGTCGCACATGCAAGCAATCCCCGTGAATAGGGACAGCTCTGGTCAATTTGCTGAGTGGTTTGCCTTTGTCCTTGCTTATGAAGAGGAGAAGCTATTTATTTTTGTTTTGATGGAGATGTGTTCATTTGCTTTCTCCTCTCAGCCTCCCCATCCTCTGGAACATGGAGTTAAGCAGAGGCAGAAGAGAATACCCCTATTAAAACGCCAGCAGCACATCCCTGCATTACATGCCCTCAGGATTGCTTTGGATTTACTTTCAGAGTCAAGCTGGGATTTTACGTCTACACTGGTGGCTTCTTGTTCAAGAACACTTTTTGCACAAGAACTCTTCCACAAAACTCTTCCACAAGAGAGTGTCTACACTGCCATGTGCTTTTGCACAAGAGATGTGCTTTTGTGCAAGAGCATCCATGCCAGTGTAGATGCTCTCTTGTGCAAGAAAGCTCGGATGGCCATTTTAACCAGAGGGGCTTCTTACGCAAGAAATTCATGTTGCCTGTCTACACTGGCCTCTTCTGGAAGAGCTCTTGCACAAGAGGGCTTATTCCTCATGGGGAAAGGAATAACTCTTCTGGAAGAAGCCCTGTTTTACAACGCTGCACTGTACATTTACTTCTGGAAGAACGCTCGTGCACTGTAGACAGCTGGCAAGTTTTTGTGGAAGAATGGCTGTTCTTCCGCAAGAAGCTGCCAGTGTAGATGTAGCCCAAGTGATGCAATTTGCATAGTGCAAACTGCTTCGCTTATTTCGAGGCACAGCGTCCAGAAGCACTAACAAAATACAGGACTATGCTACATAGTCCTGTATTTTGTTTCAGCTACACCAGACTAACACGGCTACATTTCTATCACTATTCCAAAAGCACTAAGTGACTTTGAGCCTGTCCCATAGGAAAGACACCAAGGGGATTTAAGCTCCCAAGTCATTCAGGAACTTTTGAACAAATTCCCCCTTTCGGTGGGAAATAGGCAACTAATTAGAAATCTCAGTTTAAACTCGAAGGGCCTTTCTTTTATGCCTAGACTCACTGCAGTGCAGAATACTGCTCAGCGCTGAAAAGGGTACCACGGTCTGACCCAAAGGAGACCTACAATGAGCTTGGCCTCCCTTTGGAAGCACATGTATTGAACGTTCTTTTATCTCCTTTTCCACTTTCCTCTCCTAGCACCTTATTTTGATGCAGAACCTGTCTCTTCTGCCCCCAACTATTTCCAGTCACAGCAGTTTCCAAGTTGCATTTCCTGCGAAGAAAACCCAAGTTATTTGGAACAACTTGTTGAGACCTATCTTCAGACAGAGCCGCCCATGGCCCCATCCCTGAATGCTCTACAGACTTCCACCCACTATGGCCCAGACACCTTCCAGTCGCACCCGCTTGGCTTTAACCAGAGCATGGTAAGTGGGTTGTGTTCTTTACAGAGCTGGATCGGTGGTGTGGTGTCTATTTCTAGCTTGCACCACCTTGAGAGAAATCACCTTAGCATGTTCAGCATGGGAAAAAATCAAGGAGAGAGACTAATGGGCAAAATAAGGATCTCTACTCCACATGGTTCTGGGACAGTTTTGAATTGAATTTGTTCATGAGCATGATTCATTCTGACGACTCCACAGCAATGATCTACAAGGGGAGGCTGAGGGATTTGGGCTTATTTAGTCTGCAGAAGAGAAGAATGAGAGGGGATTTGAGAGCAGCCTTCAACTTCCTGAAGGGAGGTTCCAGTGAAGATGGAACGAGGCTGTTCATAGTGGTGACAGATGGCAGAACAAGGAGCGATGGTCTCAAGTTACAGTGGGGAAGGTCTAGGTTGGATATTAGGAAAAATTATTTCCTTAGGAGGGTGGTGAAGCACTGGAATGGGTTCCCTAAGGAGGGGGTGGAATCTCCATCCCTGGAGGTTTTTAAGTCCCAGGTTGACAAAGCCCTGGCTGGGTTGATTTAGTTGGGGTTGGTCCTGCTTTGGGCTGGGGGCTGAACTCGATGACCTCCTGAGGTCTCTTCCAGCCCTAGGTTTCTAGGAATGTTCCCTCTAATTTTTTCCATCCATGTGAAGGATAAATTTTGTTATTTGCACCGATGCATGTGCAAATGTGCACCACCAGTAGAAACACCTGCTGCCAGCTGTGGGAGCTCTGCTAATCAGCTGGGTGGCATTTGAATCTCTCCTGGGTGGCCATCCAAGCACTCAGCTTACAGGAAACACTGCTCCGCAGCTAGAGGGGCGAGTCTGGGATTCAGTTATAATTGGAGCTCTCCTACAGAAGCAGAGAATATGACCCAGACCTGAGGAGGCAGGATCCAGGAAGTGTCACTTCCATGGTCCATGAAACCGCATTAGAGAGGGGCTAGGGAACAACCCCGGTCCTCCCCAGGATCATCTAAAGGTTAAATTAATGCCACTGACCTGTTCACGCTTAGCAAGATAGGAACTGCCAGTCCAGATCAGCCCATTGCTCCCCCTGGGTCAGTACCATGTTCTGATAGTTCCCGTAGTAGGCACGAGAACCCCTGAAATGGGCAATAATGGAATAACCTGCCCACTAAAAAGTTCCTTCCTGACTGTCCTCAGGCACAAGTTGTCGTATGCCAGGAAGCAGGCGGGTTTAAAACTGCATGTAACTAGCAGTTTAGAAAACAGCTACGGTTAGAATACGTCGTTTAGTGACATGCATTCTGCGTGCTCGTGGGGGTGGATTTAACACCAGACGTACAGTGCAGTATTCTTAAAGATCCTTCTGCAACAACAGTGGAGAACAGTTACCACCAGAGGGTCAGCTTGGTAGAACTTGTTCTTTCATACACACACTTGCATAGAACAAAAGCTTCAGAAGGGGGAGCCGAGTTCACCTGTAACTGGAAAAACTTAAACAACCACCAATAGTTGTTTAAGGTGCTGCGGGACTATTGGTGGTTGTTGAAGTTTTTGCATAGAGCAAAACTGGGGCAGTGTGGCACCTGTTCAGTAGTATCACCTGGCGTCTCTGGGGCTTGACTCTAGCATGCTCTCTTGCTGAGCACGAAGGCACCGATCCTGCAGTGACCTGTATCCGCTCATTGCAGGATCAGAGCTGTGCTCCCAGAAAAGCAGACGTCTTGACAAGTTCACAGTGGCTCTTGGAGCCCGTGGATTTCAGTAGACCAGGGTAACTGCAGAGTGGGGTATGATGTGGTTGTCTACTCAGGGCTTTGTAATTATATATTGTAACTGTACATTTTTTTCTAGTCTGTGTCGTTATTTGAATGCCATCACTAACTGCACTGAACACATTTTCTTTTCTCTCCCTTTGTGTAGGTTCCTGAGTCTCCCACCTCCTCTGACCTATCCAGCCCATTAGACTATAGTTACTCCCCCCCTCAACCGCCTCCTTTTGCTCCACTGAACTACAGCCCTCCGTCACCTCTAGACACCACGAACTACAGCCACCCTGTAGAGGAGTGTTCCTACCGCCACTCCTATCCGCAATACAGCTGCTCCCCTTTGGCCTGTCACTGCTCAACCTGTGCCTCCGAGCACTTGGATACATTCCGAGTAACAGAGTATTTCCCCTACCCCAGTGTAAACTGCATGGACTATCCCGCCACCATAGCAACGGCGGATGACTTCTTTAGACGGGATAGAAGTTGCGACATCTGCTACAGTTAATGGAGATGGTGGTTTTATATGTACGTACATACAGGTATCCCAATCGGCTGACTGCCTATGAACTATGCAAAACATCACTCACAAAGAAAGTTCAGTTTATTCTACATAACTTAGTCTGGGATTCTCCAGATGTTAATTTAGCTCTCATCAGTAACAATGTTAGGCCTAACAGCACTGCAACAGTTGTATTTCTGTCTTGTATTTCATTTTTTAAAACCCTAACTTTCCGTGAACACTTTACTCATTTTTTTTTGTAGTTGCAAATAAATAATTTTGTACAGATTCCTGGAGCATGGTGCTTTCTCTTATGTTTATAGGAGAATTTTTAGGTTATTTTGAAGAAATCTGACTTTTTCTAAGCATAGGAGGTGGGGGTGGAGATTGCTTCTGCTATAATTAAAAGCCTTGCTGTTGCAAATGTATATTTCTGTTTGTGTAAAGTGGGGCCTTTGCACATGAAGTTAAGGGACCTTCTGGGGGTGTGAAAAGTTACTCAGTTGTGTAAGTGATTTCAGGTTAAGGGTCCAGGTTCTCTTCCAGTCCATTTGTTATACTTTCCATCTGCTGTGAAGGGTGAGATGATTAGCCAGTAAACAGCTGCTGTCCGTTTTATGGAACCTCTGCCACATTCCAAAATATACATGCTTCTTTCCAGCTCTGATGTACTCGCAAGTTTCACCAACTGTCGTTGCAATAACAGTGAGGATTCCTGGGACATCTTGGAGATTTATTAGGACATAAGCTTTAACTGATTTTAGGGCATCATCTCTAACCTGCCCCAGGACTCCTTGTTTTTGCAGATACAGACTAACACCACTACCTCTCCGAGAGTTCTCACTCCCCTTGGGCAGACTAATAAATAGAGCCCTGCAAATCTGCCGATATCTGAGGGTATCTGCATATGTGGATGCGGATATCTGCAGCTCCTGTTTGTATCTAGAGCTCTGCAAATTTGTGGATATCAGCTCTCTATCCACATCTACAGACCATTTTTATAGATGCAGATACAAATTTTCTATCTGCACAGGCCCTGCTAATAAAATAACTTTTCCCCAGTGGTTGCTTTTATCTTAGATACATAACAAGCAAAACGTTAGTTTTTCTGCACCATTGCAAATGACAGAATCTATATAGGTCACAACTGGGCTGGGATCTCAGAAGGAAAGAAGACATCCACCGAGAATCCTTACATCGTTAGTGCTTTCTCAAAATACATTAGTCTGGAATTTTCTAGAGAGACTAAGGGAGTTAGGTGCCTATTGCATGGTGCATCTACTCTGCCAGTGAAGGTAAAAAAAAGCTAGTTTTAATCTAGCATACCCAGGTAACAATAGTAGTGAAGACAAAATAGCAGTGAAGTCACAATGGCGTGAGCTAGCAATATTTCACCTTAGATACTATACACTGGAGTAGCGGCGAGGAGTCCTGCAGCACCTTATAGACTAACAGAAGTGTTGTAGCATAAGCTTTCGTGGGCAAAGACTCACTTTACACGGCTACCCTATACACTGGAGTAATACTTAGAATTTGAGATTTGGACTGCTCAAGGAGAAATGGGGACAGATTCTTAGCTGGTGTAACTTTAGTGTAGTGCCATTGACTTCAAGAGGCATTACATGCACGCCTCTACAGCCCTGTCTGAATTCCCTAGTGTTATCCTGCTTTTCACCATTCAGGAGCTGGTTATGGTATTTTAACAAAAGCCGGTGTAGAACTGAAATTGCCTTGGTGAAATGCATTTTTGTGAAATGCCTCAAGACTGCTTTAAAGGACAGCCGAAATGGAAAAAAACAGCATTTTACGGCTGATTTAATTTAAATCGATAAAATGTTACCTGCTTCCATCTGCCAAGTCATCTTGCTTCTCTAAATGTTCAGCTCTCATTACAATTGCCAATCCAAGAGCAAGGGCTTTCAATAAGGAAAAGTTGCATGTCAGAAGTCTCATTATCCCAAGTCTTCCCAAACTTTAGAGTTTTCCTAAGCAGCGTCCCCATGTTCTGCACAGAAGTAAGAGTTACATTCCATAAATCCTCCAGCCGCAAGTAGGAATTAGAAAGCAATAAGAGCATTTCTGCAAATTAAACCTAAATAAAAAAAAATCCAAGGATCACTGAAATACATCTTCTCGGGTAAGAGAAAACATGAGTATCAAGTATAATTCACCACCCCAGTTTCAAGATTAGCCCTCCACTAAAAGCAGCATCTTTTCCTCCACAAGTTGCATATGTCACCTCTTTTCCAGCCACATTTTTATCGAAAATCTGCCTGTTCCATCATCATCATCCCTCTCTTCCTTTCTCTTCCATTCCCTCCCTTTGACCCTGGTCTCATATGAATTCAGTCTCCCACCTTACAGGTTGCTCTGTAGAGTCTACTGCCACTCACTCGCTTACCTTCATTAAAGAAGTAACAAAGGGTACATCTAAACTACATGCCTCCTTCGACGGAGGCATGTAGATTAGACAGATCGGCAGAGGGAAATGAAGCCGCGATTAAAATAATCGCGGCTTCATTTAAATTTAAATGTCTGCCCCGCTCTGCCGATCAGCTGTTTGTCGGCAGATCGGGGCAGTCTGGACACGCCGCGTCGACAAAGAAGCCTTTCTTGATCGGCACAGGTATGCCTCGTGAAACCAAGCCATGGAGCCCCTGCTGACCCTGGACTCTGAGTCCCCCACTGACCCCAGGCTCCATGCTGCGCTGCATGCTGCGCAGAGCCCAGGGTCAGCTGGGGGCTCCCTAGCTGATCCCAGGTTCCTCACGGCACTTCCTCAGAACCCAGGGTCAGCTGGGTTCTGCTGAAATGCCACCTGGAGTCCGGGATCAGCTGGGAGTCCCCAGCTGACCCTGGGCTCCACAGCACTGCCCCTTTGAAATGCCGAGCCAGCATTTCAAAGGGGGCGCACTGCAAAGCTGAGCCTGGGATCAGCTGTGTGGCTGCCCCTTCTAAACACCAAAGCCGCCTTCAAGGGGCAGCACTGCATAGCTGAGCCTGGGATTAGCTGTGCAGCTGTCCCTTTGAAACGCCAAACCTGGGAGTCTCCAGCTGACCCCGGACTCTGGGGAAATGCCGCTCAGAACCTGGGGTTAGCTGGAGAATTCCCAGCTGACCCCGGGCTTCACGGCGCTTTGGTGTTTTAAAGGGGCAGCCCTGCACAGCTGAGCCACTGATCAGCTGTGCGGCAGCTGCCCCTTTGAAATGCCACCCTGGCTCAGCAGTGCAGCACTGCCGCTATGAAGTACCCCTTCTTCCCCCCTTTGCTGCCTCTATCTGATAGACGCAGCGGGGGTAGGAGTCGACTAATTGACTAGTCCTTAACATCCTGACTCTGGACTCATTTGTCTAAAAAGAAATCTGATTTCTCTGAAATTTTCACCTTCTCCCGTCTCCAAATTCTCGGTTCCTTGCATAGCAGGGAAGTGTCAGCACCTGCTGAAAGCCACCTACTAGGTCAACCTGTCCACAGCCCAATTCCTTCTTTCCTCCCACACCTCCATCCAGAGCCTTTGAACCTCCTCTGCATCAAATCCTCATTCTCACCCTGCTGGATTTACCCCCTGCTTTTCTCTCATCTCCTGCCACTCACTATGCTAGTCCCTTCATTCCCACTGGCTTCTTCTCCCAGCCTGGTGCCTGAAACATCCTGCCTGGCCCTGTCCATCACACAACCTGTCTCTCTATTGCCAAATCCTGCTTTTCCCACAGCCTCCCATTATACAGTGTCACGCTCTGTTTGATGATGTGTGGGAACACTTATAAGCACTAATAATTACCAATATCATACATACCATGCAAAACAAGCCTACTCCTTCTCCAGCACCCCCTTCCTTCCTTATGCATTATCATTGCTCCCTGAACCATATCATGCTGTACAGAACCATCTGGATCTCATACTTTCCCTGGCAGGAAATATGCCTGTCTTCTCTATAAAGAAAGCTGCCCGCACCCCTGTGGCATTAGACACAAATGTTTAACAGTATCACAATACTACATCAGGAAATTACCATTAAGAACATAAGAATGGCCATACTGGGTCAGACCAAAGGTCCATCTAGCCCAGTAGCCTGTCTGCCGACAGTGGCCAGCACCAGGTGCCCCAGAGAGGGAGGACCGAAGACAGTGATCAAGAGATTTGTCTCCTGCCATCTTTCTCCAGCCTCTGACAAACAGAGGCCAAGGACACCATTTTATCCCCTGGCTAATAGCCTTTTATGGACCTAACCTCCATGAAATTATCTAGCTTTTCTTTAAACTCTATTATAGTTCTAGCCTTCACAGCCTCCTCTGGCAAGGAGTTCCACAGGTTGAAAACACGCTGTGTGAAGAAGAACTTTCTTTTATTAGTTTTAAACCTGCAACCCATTAATTTCATTTAGTGCCCCTAGTTCTTCTCTTATGGGAACTAATAAATAACTTTTCTTTATCGGCCCTCTCCACACCACTCATGATTTTATAGACCTCTATCATATCCCCCCTCAGTCTCCTCTTTTCTAAACTGAAGAGTCCCAGTCACTTTAACCTCTCCTCATATGGGACCCGTTCCAAACCCCTAATCATTTTAGTTGTCCTTTTCTGAACCCTTTCCAAGGCCAAAATATCTTTTTGAGGTGAGGAGACCACATCTGTACACAGTATTCAAGATGTGGGCATACCATAGCTTTATAAAGGGGCAGTAAGATATTACCATTATTTGTGCTAAGTCTCAGAGGAGTAGCTGTGCCAGTCGGTATCTACAAAAACAATGAGGACTCCTCATTATTGTTTGTGTTGTAAGTATGCTGGGGCAATCGGGAGAGGGGGCAGGCACAGAAGCCGACTCTGCCTGCTTTATGCCACAAAAGGACATTTATCAGCTGCTCTGCTATGCTCAGAATCCAACCCCTTCACACTGGCTAAGTGGTGCCAAAGGGACAGAGAACAAACTAGATTCTGGTCCAGGATATCAAAGTCAGGGGTCTCGGAGCAATTATATTCCGGCCATAGTCTTCATACAGGTTGAACTGTTTATGCAGTAAAGCAAAATTCCAAGTATGCTACCGGAAAGGGGATGAGCCGCAGAATCCATAACTAGGGATTTCTCGCTGTTTGGATTCTCAGCCTTAACTGCTGAGCATGTGAATATACTAGTAGATGGGAGACAGAGATTGCCTGCCGACTCAGTAAAACAGTGACCTCTGCTGGCAACGGCTCCAGGACTCAGTTAACAATGCCATTTGAAACAAGTAAAAACTTTAAAAAACAACACATTGTCTAGTAGCACCTTAAAGACTAACTAAACAT